GTCACAGTAATACTGGGTCAGGCATTTGGCTGAGGGGCTGCAGCCCTGGTTTGGGGCAGATTCCCGGAGCTTTGGTCCTTGCCCAGCCAGCTGAGTTTTAGTTTATGGAGCTAAATTGTCAAGAGTAGCTGAAAATTCCACCTGAAAATTCTGTCCAGCCGTATGGAAGGGTGAAGGACAGGCTCTGTGAGTGGCTCCGTGCCAGGCAGGCTCCAGAAGGCAGTTGCTGTTGACATTCAAAAATGCTTTCCATTAAAAGCTCTCCAAGATCAGAGCAGAGCTGTGTTCCTTGGCTCTGCTGGCAGTGGATTCACGCTTCCCGCGGGGCTGAGCGAGCCACAGAACACAGCAGTGTGCTCAGGCTGTCCTCAGATCTTCTGGAGAGCCTGGCAGCTCCAAGCTGCTTAATTGTAGTGGATCCCTCCCTTTTTCAGAGCAGGGAGGAAGGGCTTTGATCTGAAATACTGCTTCAGATTTGCTTGCTGGAAATTAAGTACATAAAATAATTTTCAATCGTTTTTGTCTGATGACACACTTTTACAAGAAGGTGAAATCAGCCTTAGAAGGAGTTGCTGAGGAGTGTGTTGGATATAAATGAGCTGTGGGGACTCAGCCTGGAGAAAAGGAGGCTCAGGGGGGTCCTTCTCGCTCTCCCTATAACTCCCTGACAGGAGGGTGGAGCCAGGTGGGGGGCAGGCTCTGCTCCCTGGGAACAAGGGGCCAGATGAGGGGAAATGGCCTCAAGTTGTGCCGGGGGAGGTTCAGGTTGGACATCAGGAGGAATTTCTTCTGGAAAGGGTGGTCAGGCATTGGAAGGGGCTGCCCAGGGAGGTGGTGGAGTCCCCATCCCTGGAGGTGTCCAAGGAACTGGATGTGACACTCAGTGCTCTGGGCTGAGCGACAAGGTGAGGATCAGTCACAGGTTGGACTGGATGGTCTTGGAGGTCTTCTCCAACCTTAACGATTCTGTGATTCTGTGTCACACTGAAAATGACACAGTTGGTGTCAAAGCTTTTCCAGCTGGCAGAGCTGAGAGGCCGCTGCTCCTCCGGCCGAATCCAAGCACAACGTGGGCTGTTGATGCAGCTCATCTGTGCCAAATGAAATGCTGGATTCATTACCATTTGGTGCTAAATCTTCCATCAGGATCCTTAGCACCATGTTTAAACTGGGTACCTGTGTACAGACTGTGCTTTTAACTGAGATTTTAACCTGAGAAAGTTTAAATTCTGATTTTTTAACATTCCTGTCCTCTCCTTATGCAGCCAGAGGAACTCAAATTGGCCACTCAGCTCACAGGACCCGTTATGCCCATCAAGAATGTAAGTGTAATTAAATCATATTCTCTCTGTGACATAAATGTGATTGAACTCTGTGGAGAGGGTTCTCTCCTTGCTGTTGCACTGTGTCTGTGGACGCTGCCCCTCCTGGGGGGAAAAAACCAGGAATAAACTTTTGAGAGAACTCATACCTGTGAAATTGGGGGCACTTTGGATTGCAGCTGGGGTGGGGGTGCCCAGGCAGGTTCTGTGGTCAGCATTTGTCCCTAAATCATCACTGCTTCCCAGAGCTGCTGTCAGTAATGCCACAAACCTCTACTTGCTCCCTAGAACTCCCTGACAGGAGGGTGGAGCTGGGTAGTGATCAGGCTCTGCTCCCAGGGAAAAAGTCACAGGATGAGAGGAAACAACCTCAAGTTGTGCCAGGGGAGGTTCAGGTTTAATATTGGGAAAATTTCTTCATGGAAAAGGTATAAAGCATTGGAACTGACTACTGGGGGCAGTGGTGGAGTCCCTATCCCTGGAAGCGTTCAACAAACATGTGGATGTTGCACTTGAGGACGTGATTAGTGGTGAACGTGCTTCTAGTGCCAAGCTGACAGTTGGACTCGATGCTCTTAAAGTCTTTTCCAACCTGAACAATCCTGTGATTCTGTGAACCTGACTCACGTTTCCTGTGGTGCTTTGTTTCCATCCCTGCTCAGTTGTGCTCGGTGCGGGTGCGGCTGTGCTGCTGTTCCCGGTGGAGCAGCCGAGGGCAGGGCCTGTAGGTGGCACGAGTGCTCTGTTCCTCGCTGAGATCACTGTGCAAAGCCTCAGCTCCTTCCCCGCGGTGCAGCCTGACTGTCTGGCACTCCCTCTTTCCCCCAGGTGTTCAAGCGGGAGAAGGCCCGCGTCATCTCAGAAGACGAGAAGAACTTCAAGGCCTTCGCCAGCCTGCGCATGGCCCGGGCCAACGCCCGCCTCTTCGGCATCCGCGCCAAGCGCGCCAAGGAAGCAGCGGAGCAGGATGTGGAGAAGAAGAAATGAACTGTTCTCCCCAGAACTGTCAATAAAAAGCTGTAGACAGACGGGTGTGCTGTGTTTTTGGGGCACATGTACCAAGTGGAGTTGTGCCGGTGCCGGTGCGGGGATGTGTTCAAGCGTGGGAAACCTCATTTGCTGTGCTTGGAGTCTCCAAAGTTCTCCAAAAGCTTGTGAAACGCCTGCCTTGTGCCCACTCCTCTGCCTTGTGTCAGGGCTGCAGTCTGGGCTCCCTCCTGCTCTGACTTCAGAGGGCTTTGGGGGTACCCCTCTGTGCCAAGCTTTGTCTACTCCCCCTTCCATGCCGTTATTCCAGGTTTAATGATTTCCATGCCTCCGTATGAGGCAGAGCTCTAGAAGGTGGGATGTCATGGGGGGTGTCACCTTTGGGTGCTGGGCAGTGCTGCCCACATGGGAGGGGACTTCCCTGCTTTTTAAGGGGCACAAGGGGAGTAAGATGTGTTGCAGCCCCTAAGCTGGGCTTCTATGGAGCAGAATCCCAGGGCTGGACTGTGCTGCCCTGCCTGGCCCTCAGCTCAGCCCCAGCTGTTCTGAGGACCCTTCACCCATTTCTTCACGGCTTAAAGGCCATTCCATGGTAGATGTGGCACTTGGAGACACAGTTTGTCGTGGCCTCAGCAGTGCTGGGGAGCAGGTGGGACTCTGATCTTGGAGGCTTTTTCAACACAAGCGGTTCTGTGATCCCTCAGTCAAGTGGCATCACAGAGAAGCCCAGGAGAAGGGTTGGGTTGCTCTGGCCCATCCTTGTTGATGTTGGGGGTCCCAGATTCTGCCTGTCCCAGTGTGGGGGGCTGATGGGTCACCGGGATGTGTCAGTGGGATTGGAACTGCTCTGGGAGCGCTCGCATCTGGGGCCATTGTGCAGCCATAGCAGGTTGGAGAGAGAATATGGAT